GCTCCTGGTGCGGCTGCGACAGCTACGACTGCTGCTGCTGCTCCCGCGGCTGCTGCTGCTGCTGCTGCTGCTACTGCTGCTGCTGCTGCTCCAGCCGCTGCTGCTGCCGCTACTCCACCTCCAGCCGCTGCAACTCTCTCTCCTCTCTCTCTAACTCCAGCTGCTCCTCACGAGCACGGCAAATACGAGCCTGGTGCCGGGTCGGGTAGGGGTGGGGGGGAGGAGTAGTGTCCGGGGCCGCGGCAGCCCCAGGACCACCCTCCAAAGCACCCGGCGCACCACCCCCAGAGGCAGTACCACCAACAGCAACACGGCCAGGCTCACAAGGACCCGAAGGGGGCGCACCCGCACCCCCAGACGTAGTACCCCCACAGTCAGCACCACCTACACCAGGTTCCGGAAGACGAGAGTCTCCTGAAGCCTCGCGCTCAGCCGCAACTCCAGCACCCCCAGAGCTAGCACCGACAGGGTCCTCGCCACAAACACCGGCTCCCGCAGTGTCTGCCGCAGGCTGCGAGGAGGACTGCGGGGAAGGAGGCTGTACCTGAGGGGCTACCGAGGGGGGAGGGGTAGCGTGGAACACACCTGACGGGGCTGGACCAGGGGGGGGAGGCTGTACCGGGGGAGCAGGAGGGGGAGCGGAAGTCAGGAAGAGAGGGGGAGGAGGAACCGGGAGACCTCGGCAGGGGTTCCTGACGTAGTAGGGGACGGACTCGTCGAAACTAACGTCCTGGGAGTCAAAGAACCGGTGAAGGGGAGGGTGGTAAAAGGTGAAGTCACAGGAGTCCTCTAGGAAACCAAGGAAGACACAAGGAATGGCGTGAGGCGAGGTCTTGTCCGCGGAGGTGTCGCGAACAAGAGCCAAGCAACCCCAGACCCGAAACCGCGACGCAACACCAGGGGACCCGGTCCAAAGACTAGTCGGTGAAACCTCTGGCCGAGAGACACGTGGCCAGAGGTTCAGCTGGTGAGCGGCGTACCTAACCGCGTAGGGCCACAGAAAATGGGGTGCACGGGCGTGAGTCAAGGAGGTGCGGGCGATCTCCATGACCAAGCCTATGCGGCGCTCGGCAACCCCATTCTGCTGTGGGGACTCTGGAAGCGTCCAGGACTAACGAATGCCTTGCTCGCGACAGAATCCAGCGAGAATGCCAGAGCGAAACTCACCCCCACGGTCGGAGTGAAGACAGCTGACTCGACGACCACGAGTGCCCTCAGTGGTAAGCAACCACCTGATCAGCGTAGAAGTCACCTCAGACTTCTTCACAAGGGGGGAACACTGTGGTGTAGCGGGGGCCAGAAAGAAACGCTCACGCTCAGGGCCAAGGCGAGAGGTGGGGCCCAGACGTCCAAGTGGAGCGTCTCAAAAGGCTTGGTGGCCGGACGAAGGGAGGAGTGAGGGGTGGCGTGCAGCCTACCCTCGACGCAAGAACCGCACGGTGGTGCAAGCGAAGGCGGCAGCGACGGTAAGACACGTGGGAGGCCTAAGACAAGAAACTGACGAGACTTAGTGCGTAGATGAGGGGGAGACGGGTGCCCCATCCGGTGGTGCCACAGAACGGTGGGGTGGGCAAGTGACTGGCAGGAGCACGACGCAGCAACTGGACAAGACACGGGAACCTGACCAGACACAGCTACCTGGGGGGACGCAGCAACGTGGTGAGACGTAGGGACCAGACTGGGGGAAGGAACAGGGGCCGCGGGCAGTAGTCGCTGCTGCTGCTGCGGCTGCGGCTGCTGCTGCGGCTGCTGCTGCTGCGGCGGCTGCTGCTGCTACTGCTGCTGCTGCTGCTGCTACTGCTGCTGCTGCTACGGCTGCTGCTGCGGCTGCTGCTGCTGCTGCTTACTAGAGGTAGTGTGAAGTGTGTAGAGACCAAAGCCCGGCTCAGCTGTAAAGGCGGCAAGAGGCGTGTAAGTGTCTCCGTCAACACAAACCGCCGTCTCACCAAAGGGCTCAATCCACACACCCACATGCTGACTCACAAGAGGCCTCACGCCCACCAAGTTCCGCGAGAACGAGGGGACATGGAAGCCAGTCAGAGACCCTGAGGGAACAGCAGGGCACGGAAGAGTAGTAGTGTAGCGAGCAGTGACTGGTCCCGAGGTGGGATCAGCCAGAGCCACAGAGACCGGCATCGGAAGCGGAGTAAGTGTCGTGTGGTCCTGGAAGAAGCAGTGCGAAGCCCCAGAGTCCAAAGTGAAAGACAACGAAGCGTCCTCCGAAGCAGCTCCTGGACTAGTGTCTACACAAGTGCCTACACTAGCAACAGGCAACTCAGCAAGACTAGCACCTAAGCTAACAACACTCGAGTAAACAGAGTCACAAGCACTAGAGTCAACAATAGCATATATTGCATGAGGAGTTCCTAAGAGATCAACCAACTGATAAGCTGACATGCCCCAAAGAGCGGAGCCGTACGTCTGAACAAGAGGAAACCAGTCAGGGGCAGGGCCGCCAACGCTGAAGGCCAAGCGAACTGTGTCAGTGAGCTGAGCAAAGCACTGACCAGGAGGGTGGGTGCGGCCACAAGGCTGGCCTTGGCGAGCACCTGTCAAAAGCTGATAGGTGCACGAAGGGTGAACAACACCTCGCTGAGGCTGACGCTGTCGTGGCCTCGAAACCTACTGCTGCCGCTGCTGCTGCGGGGGCTGCTGCAAGGGGAGGGGCTGCTGCTGCTGCCGCTGGGCCAGGTACCACGCCGCTGCTCCACCCGCCGTTGCCGGCAGACCAGAAGGTGGCTGACGAGCCCGGGCGTCGCCTCCACTAGCTGCAGTAGCGGAGTCACCGGCCGCTGCACGCGACGCCTCTCCTGGCCCTGCACTCCCGCCGCCACCAGTCGGCACGCCACCCCCACCACCTCCGCCGCCAACGCCTCCACCGCCGCCGCCACCTGTACCCTGACCGCCCCTCTTGCCACCTCTACCTCGAGACCGCGAAGAAGTCGTGACAGCAGCTGCGGTCACGTCAGTAGCAGCAGTGGCGAGAGAGGCTGTAAAGGTGGGCAGCTCAGGGACAGTGCACCCGTAGAACAGTGGAGGGGGCACAGCACCAGAGGCGGAGGCTACGGAGCGGAGGTTGCTCTCGACGTCCTTGAGCGCAGACTCAAGGACCTCGATAGTGAGCTCACTAGGGTGCTTCAGAAGAAGCGTGTCACGGACTGAGGCAAGGCGGTCTGGGGGGCTAGTGGCAATGAAATTGATAGTAATCGCCATGGGGGGAGGGAGTAGTGCACGCTGTGCCTCAGTGCAAGCAGTGCGGTAGCTAGAATCAAGCGAGCGGAGGTGAGCAATCAAGTCAGCAGAGTGCTCAAACGAGGCGAGGTCAGGGAACAGGAACGGTAGGAAGAGTCGGCGAAGAGAGACAGTGGTGGGAGTAGCGTAGCGGGCCTTAATCGCAGTCAGGAACTCCCTAGCAGTGCGAACCTGAGTGAAGTGGGCCTCCTCAGACTCAGGGAGGAGGCTGCTAAGAGCGATGCAGGCCGCAGCGTCACACGACTTCCACGCCGTCAGGTCAGCACGCTGGCGGGTGAAGCGGTCCCTGGCTGCGTCGTCAGGGGCAGTGCCTAAAGGCGTAGGGTCGTCGGGCGCTGGAAGGTCACCAGTAGTGTGCGCCCAAAGGGATTCGCCCGCCTGAACCTGACTCTCTAAGAGGCGACACGCGCGTAGAAGTCAGACCGGAAACTCGAGCGGTCTACCGTCAGCGTCGAAGCGAAGAACCCTAGGGGTCGCCATAGTGTAAGTAGAAGCGACAAGTCGGGCGGTGGGTAGCTCTGGTAGGGACGGTAGGCGGCTAGGACAAGTCTGTGACGGGCGCAAAATGCGGGCGCAACGGGGCTAGGGGCGGTCCCGCGGCGGACTGAACGAGTAGGCGCAGCGGTGCGAAGGAGGGCCTACGGCGGCTGTAAGGGAGGGCCCGCGGCGGGCCTTAACTAGTAGGCACGGCGGCTGGAAGGCAGGGCCCGCGGCGGCTGTAAGGGAAGGCCCGCGGCGGGCCTTAACTAGCAGGCGCGGCGGCTGGAAGGCAGGGCCCGTGGCGGCTAAATGCGGGGCGCCGCGGCGACGAAATGCAGGGCGCCGCGGCGACGAAATGCGGGGCGCCGCGGCGACGGAATACGGGGCGCCGCGGCGACGAAATACGGGGCGCCGCGGCGACGACGAGCGGGCGTTTAGGGCAGCGGGGGGAGGACGCGATGCGACAGGCAGGGTGGGAGGGCACGTCGCGACGAGCAGCGGGGGAGGGCGTGACGGGACGGGAAGCCGGGGAGAGCGCGACGCGACGGGCAGGGGGGGGAAGGCGCTACGCTACGCGGAAAGCGGGTCGGCGGAGCGAGCGCTAACGAACGAGCGAGACTGGATCGGGCCGGCGCTAGGCTCGGGCAAGACGGGTACGACTAGTACGAGAGAGTGAGACAGGCTCGGGCGGAACGAACGAGGACGAGAGGTGCGGGATCCCACAGGATCCTAACCTAGGTGATACCATGTCAAGAACGAAAGTGTTGTGTTATTGATGAGGGTTGGGGTACATATAGCAAACCCTAACATTTGTACCCCCTAAGACAAACCTCACTACAGGCTACAACATTTGACACGTCAGACCAATTTGGTCTGATGTCGACGTCCCTGGTGTGGATGGATGGACTGTGGGCAGGGTAGCTGCTTAGATAAATACCCTGCTGTATGGAGGCATAATCCATTCCATTGTCATGAATCCTTTCAGCTGCAAGGTTTCTCTTGCTATTCTATCATGTATCAAGGCTTCCGCTACGCCGGCACTATGCCTCTCTAGCAAAAGCCTCCACTCCTCCACACCACCCTCGCTCCCTGCCCCTCACCCTCGTGCCCTGCTGCCAGCATCAGCACATGCCAATGGAAGACACATTTGCCTTAGATTCGACACTATCATATACGGGGCGATGACAGGGACAAATGAAGTACCAGTGGTACATATGTTAGGGTGTATAAGCCTATAAGAGCTATAAGCCAACAATACCCGGATTTCCTTATCCTACACCCGCAGAGGTGCCGTTTGACTGCCATAGAAGCTTGTCTGTCTGTGAGACCCATCTATGGGGGAGGGTCTTGTTAAATTGACTCCTGTGTTGCGTAATGTCCTGCTCAAAGCCGCGGCTTCCTCCACATGTGATGGATCCAGCCAGGAACACGTGGGCATGCGCGCACAGCAGCTTGTCCAATATGGCAACAATGCCTGCTTGTACGGAAGGGAGCGCATGGGAGAGCATAGAAAGGCAGGCGGCATAGAGGGTGGAAGGGAGAGTAGATGGCAAGAGAGGAAGAAGAGGTGCGTGAGGGTTGAGATGGCATGGCACAGCGAGGGAAATCTCAGGCAGTCAAATGTTGCAGCCCAGGCAGCCACTCAAGCAGCCAGCCAGCCACCCAAGCAGCCACCCTAGAACCCACCCACCAGACCAAAGTGCACAGACCGGGGTCGTAGCGGTTGACAGAGGGCATGAGCTCGTCCACCATCACTGTGCCCGCCACCTGCTCCCTCAGCCACCGCAGCTTCTCCCGCGGGGCCTGCAGCGCCCTCTCTTTCTCCGCCCCTTGGAACTTCCACGTGGTCTCGTTCCACGAGTCCGACCGCACCACGCTGCCTGCCTTGCCGTCAAACGGCACGTCGGCGGCGATGAAGACGGCGGAGATGTTGTGGCGGCGCTTCATGCTGTTGATCAGGTCGCGCGCCGCCTCCATGCACCCCGCCATCAGCCCCTCCAGCACGCCCGCCTCCACCTTGAAGCCTCTTACCACTAGCTTGTGCGCCTGCAGGGTGGGCGAGATGGGATTAGGGCAGCAGCGAGATGCGAACCTAGATGACTTGTGCGTCACTTCGGGTCTGCTCAGAAGCACCGTGGCATGTTAGAAACTTTCACGAGGTGGAAAGCGATGGACTCACCAGGTTGAAGGCAATGAACTCGGAGCGGTAGTGCACCGCAATGTACCGGGAGGGCAGGCGGGCCATGGCTCGATGTGCCATGGCGTGCCATGTCTGGCTGTATGGAAGCATCTTGAAGGAGATGTCGTCTGTGGGGAGGTGGAAGTCCACTCGGTCGTATGTGGTCTTCACCCACACCAGCACGTCCCTGTTCCGCCTACAGCCATGCAGCCATGAAACGCACAGCCAATGCAGAAGTGGGCAGAAGGGAAGGCAAATCGTTTTCTGACAGGGGGGTGCTGGACCAGTGACACGATGTGCAATGCTATGGTGTGCGGGATGGTGTGCAGTATGGAAGAATTTACAGCTTGGCTTGCTTTACAGGAGACTCTGAAAGAAGTTCTAAGTCATAAGCGTATAGCTTCCAACAGACAATGAGTTTCCGCCCATGATAGAAGCAGACTTGCCATGAGACACACAGAAATAAACCCCTTTGTAATACGACAGACTGATTGGATGCTTGGGCGGGCCATGCACTCATAATGCTTCATATTGGAAAGAGGACACAAAGAAGGCACTGAGAATGGAATGACGCACCACTGATGCAACTGCTGGAAAAGTACATTGCTGTTGACTGGCGTGGTGACATCAACAGTGTTGCGTCTCGAGGGTGCATGGCCCATGCCATACACCATCAGCTCACTCAGCATGTCCGACAGAGGCCCTGCACACCGAGGCACAATAAAGTGTTTTTTTTTTTTTTTTTTTTTTTTTTTTCAGAATGAATGTTATGGGTAGCTATGGATCAAACAGTTGATGAATGAGGGTGAGAATAGAATGACTACGAATTGCAACTTCAATGAAAACATTTAGATGGCATTCAGTGCTTCCTACATCTGCAAAAGGAAGTTGAAACATGTGTTCGGCTTCTGCGACTTGCCTTGATTGAAGGTCATTCGCCATACTTGGGAGGTCTGCAGATGCACAAAGGCCACGGAAGGGCTGGCTTTAGCAGCAGCAGCAGCAAAGGGAGGGTTGACAGCGGCTCTAGCAAGGTGCAGGAAGAATTCGGGCGAGATCCAGTGGGCATCGAGGCGAGAGAGGTCGAAGTAGTCGCAGAGGGGCAGGTCACGGGCGAGTGAGAGGCGGCTGCGACTGCCCTGCCATGAGGGTGATTTGGGGAGAGGGGTGAGAGAGGGTGGGAAGAGGGCGGGAAACATAAGCAGAAGACAGGAAAGAGGGTGACAAGGAATGTGCAGAATGGCACTTGGGAAGCAAGGGAGTGGCACATTGGGAAGCAAGGGAGTGGCACATTGGGAAGCAAGGGAGTGGCACATTGGGAAGCAAGGGAGTGGCACATTGGGAAGCAAGGGAGTGGCACATTGGGAAGCAAGGGAGTGGCACATGGGGAAGCAAGGGAGTGGCACATTGGGAAGCAAGGGAGTGGCACATGGGGAAGCAAGGGAGTGGCACATTGGGAAGCAAGGGAGTGGCACATGGGGAAGCAAGGGAGTGGCACATTGGGAAGCAAGGGAGTGGCACATTGGGAAGCAAGGGAGTGGCACATTGGAAAGCAAGGGAGTGGCACATTGGGAAGCAAGGGAGTGGCACATTGGGAAGCAAGGGAGTGGCACATTGGGAAGCAAGGGAGTGGCACATTGGGAAGCAAGGGAGTCACCTTGGGAAGCAAGGGAGTGGCACATTGGGAAGCAAGGGAGCGGCACATTGGGAAGCAAGGGAGTGGCACATTGGGAAGCAAGGGAGTGGCACATTGGGAAGCAAGGGAGCCACCTTGGGAAGCAAGGGAGTGGCACATTGGGAAGCAAGGGAGTGGCACATTGGGAAGCAAGGGAGTGGCACATTGGGAAGCAAGGGAGTGGCACATTGGGAAGCAAGGGAGTCACCTTGGGAAGCAAGGGAGTGGCACATTGGGAAGGAAGGGAGTGGCACATGGGGAAGCAAGGGAGTGGCACATTGGGAAGCAAGGGAGTGGCACATTGGGAAGCAAGGGAGTGGCACATTGGAAAGCAAGGGAGTGGCACATTGGGAAGCAAGGGAGTGACACATTGGGAAGCAAGGGAGTGGCACATTGGGAAGCAAGGGAGTGGCACATTGGGAAGCAAGGGAGTCACCTTGGGAAGCACGAGCGTGCGGTTGGTGGCTTGGGCGAAGCGGGCGGCCTCCACGAGATGAGAGCGCGTGTTGGAGAGCTGCTCCAAGGAGTAGGCGAACACCAGGAACCTGCGCCCCCTGGTGGCCTGGGGGGGGATGGAATGCAGGCAGTGGGGAATGGGCTGGTGAGGGAGGGATTAGACTTCTCATTAGTGCTCGTGCGCCCTGGTGGACCTGGGGTGGTGGAACGGAGGGAGTGGGAGGGGAGAAGAGGGGAGGGGGCAATAGGGGCGAAAGGGAGTACTGAGAGCTGTTGATTTGAGTGGAAACTGGGGCAGGTGAGCAGTACTTGTCAGCAGGTGGGCAGGTGAGCAGTACTTCTCAGCAGGTGGGCAGGAGGGATATTATGGAATTCTTAGCAGTACTTCTGCGGCCTGGTGCACCAGGAAGGATGGAATGGAGGGCGTGTGCGATGGAAAAGGTGAATGGGGAGGGGAAGGGAGGAACACAGAGCTGCTTCTTAGAGTGGGCAACGTGGGGAAGCTTGCGTGTCCTCGTGGCATGAGGGCAGAAAAAGAAAAGGCGGCTAAGACAAGAAAGAGAGGAGGAGGGCAGGAGTGGGTGGGGGAGGAAAGAGGGAGGAGGATGGGGAAGGAAAAGGGGGGCACCATGACATCGGAGAAGGGCTTGTGAGGCACCGGCCAGCACGCCTCAGGCCACGTGCCGCACTCTTCTGCTGCTGCTGCTCCCTCCCCTCCTGTTCCTGCTTGCCCTGCTACTGCCTCTGCTCCTGCTCCTGCCCCGGCCCCTGATCCTGCTTCTCCTATTGCCCCTGCCCCTGCTCCTGCTTCTCCAGTTGCTTCTTCTGCTGCCGTCCTCCTGCCCTCGCCGCCCCCATTCCTCTTGTCGCCGCACTCGCCGCTCAGCCGGGCCTCTATCTCGCGCACCCCACGACACACAGCATCCACGCCGGCTTCTATCCGCGCCAGCGACGTCACGTTCCGCTTCACCGCCCTCCCCACGTACGCGCTCGTTACTGCTCGCGCCATCGCCGCCCGCTGCCACCCCTCGGAGCACAGCAGCGCGGCGGAGTCTTCTGGGGCGGCGCCAGCAACCCCGCCACCACCAGCAGCAGCACCAGCAGCAGCACCCCCATCAGCAGCAGCAACACCAACAGCCGCACCAGCGGCAGAAGCAGGAGCAGGAGCGGCAGCAGCAGCACCAACAGCCGCACCAGCGGCAGAAGCAGGAGCAGGAGCGGCAGCAGCAGCACCAACAGCCGCACCAGCGGCAGCAGCAGGAGAAGGAGCGGCAGCAGTGGAACTGCCAGGGCTGACAGAGTCAGCAGAAGCGTTCAGGGTTTCGTCAACGGAACTGGTGCCGCCATTGTCGCTGTTACTAGTGGTAATACTGGGGCTATCGGCGGTAGGGCGGCTAGTAGCAGGGCTAGTAGCGGGGCTGAGAGCTTCCCATGTGAGCTGAGCGCGCGGGCTCGGCAGCTCCGGCGGCACCGCAACCTGGTAGTCCACGTCGGCGGCCTCTCTCCACCCCGCTTCCGCCGCCCATTGCTGCAGCGGCGCATTCCGCAGCTCCGCTCTGCAAGCCGCCGCTGCGGCGAGCTCCTGCGGCGGAGTCAACGCGGGGCCGTCACCGTTGGGCGGGGAGTGGGCGAGGGAGTTTATGGCCGTCACGCACGAGTCGGTCAGTTTCTCGAGAGGGAGACTAGAGGGGCGATAGCGAACAGCGCCGGCGGTACTACTGTTGGAGGCGTAAAAAGCGTCGGGTGATGACGGTGCGATGAGTTGATGGTAACAGGCTCTAATGAGGCACGAGAGCACGACCAGTAGCGCGAACGAACGCAATATTCGACCTACGGAGCCACTGGTAGTAGCGCCGAGTCTCGCTGGGGATATAGAAGCCATAAATGAAACCCGGCTTGATTCCCGCGACACTCGCGCATCACTCATAGCAAGACTAGTAGGTCATTCGCCACTGGCACACTGTCAGCTTTCCTGCACTCGTGCACGCGGCGAGAGTTCCCACGGCGGTAGCCGGCGGGAAACGCTCACTCGTCGAGGTTTGTAGTAGCTGTTGCTACTAGCCGGTTTTCTCGAAATTCTCGCAGCATCATATAACTTGAGGCGCTGCGGGATGCCCTTCACCACTTGAAACCTCGCAGGCGTTACACAGCAGATCTGTGATCTCAACATCAGTGAACATAAGGAACTCATTCGTAAGTGACTTCGATTTAGCGAACTCGCTAAATGGGCGGTCCCAAGAAATGCAGTCCGCGGTGATGAGGCAAGGAGAACGGGAGAGTCAGGTGGTGGTGGGCAATCGAGAGTGTGATACGAGAGAATTGCTCCAAACCCTTGTTTGGAGATTCAGCGTTGCCCACGTGGCCACCATTTGCTCGCGTGGTTCTCAAATTCAGTGATAATTGCTCGAGTGGCCTTGCCAGGGGATTCCCACTGGCTTTTTTTAACCCGTCACATTACCCTACACGGGTTTCTATCCCCGAAACTTCTGTACTGGTTACTGCGCGATCTTCAGTATCCAAAATCTATGTTAGTGACCCTATATGACCGCGCCTGATTGGACGCGCAATTCAAAAAAAGGCACCGCGCATATAATTGACCAATCATGCGCGGTCATTAAGGACATTGCAGTTTATAACTGCGGAAATATATGATCGGGCATTAAAATATGATGCGCGCGACCATTAATGGCCGCGCAGGATTGGTCGATTATATGAGCGTCCAATCAGGCGCGGTCATATAGGGTCACGGACATAAATTTCGGGTATAAAAGATCGCGCAATAACCACTACAGAAGTTTCGAGGATAGATACCCCTGAAGGGTAATGTTCATTCTAAAAAAAAGACGTTGAGAATCCCCTGGCGAGGCCACTCGAGCAATTATCACTGAATTTGAGAACCACTCGAGCAAATGGTGGTCACGTGTGCAACAACGAATCCCCAAACAAGGGTTTGGAGCAAATCTCTCGTGTGATACGGACTAATCACGGGTGCGGGTTTTGGCCAAGTGCACTCCTCAAATGCCACGTGGACCAAACGTGACGATGGGCTGAACTAAGGACTTGACTTGAAGCTCTACAGTTCCACTAAGGGCAGGTCCAACAATGTACGTATTCGCGGAAAACCCTACCCAACCATCTGGAGTTCTAATTCGACCGCTCTAGATAGAGTCTGAACCTTTTTCCACCCCATTCTGACGTCCTCTTTGGACCCGAGTTCCACCTGTTGGGTTATCGCGATGATATTAGATGTTTCATTTGCTGTAGAAGCTCCTAAAAAAAGGTCTGTTATGAGTTGTAAAACAGAGTTGCGCGAAAAAAAAAAAGAGCGAAGCTTGTGATTGAATGAACTGACGGTACAATTAAAGGCTCGCGATTATATGGCGGGTCAACCTAGCTACGCGGGAACCTCAGGAACACGAGATTGGGTGCAGGTTGGGCAAAAGAAAGCCGAAGCGACGCGAGGATGCTTCGACAGCAAGTAAACCGGCCGAATGTGCATTTCCGAAAGTCGATGTTGTACGCGAAAGAGTAAACCCCAGCAAGAAAAAGGGTTTTAAGAAAAGTGGTCAACATTCGCTGCACGCTTCCGGGCGAGATAATATACGAGTAGCAAAGGTGTTTTAAGTGAGGCGGATGACACGTAAGTGTCATCATCACAGGTACGGTCAGATCAACGTATCGATCCATGTGGCGTCAAGAGACATCAAGCTGAACACGATGCGCCAGAATTTTCGACGGTGCAGTGTCGGTTCAACAACAGGACTAGCCATCGTGGCGACGTTTTGGCAGACAATTTACATCGTTGCTGGCACGAAAAGCTTAAGTAGGCTGACGTTGAATGCGTCGTATATGCGCCAATTGTTGGGCCGTTAAAGTTTCACCGTCACGGGTGTGATCATTCTCACAATGCGGAAAGGACCGCACAAGCGCTGGCAAAACTTTGACAAGCCGGGTAGGCAAAGGTTCTTGGTGTCAAGTAGGACTAGTTGCCCTGCCACCATGGTGATTTCCCGACGAAGAAGATAAGAGTATTTTCAGGCAGTTGCATTTGCTTTGCAGATGGTCGACAACTTTTTTCGCAGATGGCTTGAAGTTCTGTCACAAAGTGTTGCGATCGTGGTACCGGGTTCTCAGGAGTTGTAGCCGTAGGTACCGCTTGTCAGAGGTCCACTGATGATCCCCGATTGATCCTAGGGAAGGGTTACAGGCTCGTTGTCCTGGGGGGTTATGGGCGCACTGACCCGCTACTTAACAAGCCCTTTTATCCCAATGGTCTAGTGGTTGGGATTCTGACATGTTATCAGAGCGAAGGTCTCGGGTTCGAATCCCAGTGTGTGCACTTCGGGCATCCCAGTGCGGGGGGGTGTCAGAGGTCCACTGGTGATCCCTGATTGATCCTAGGGAAGGGTTACAGGCTCGTTGTCCTGGGGGGTTATGGGCGCACTGACCCGCTATAACAAGCCCTTTTATCCCAATGGTCTAGTGGTTGGGATTCTGACACCGCTGGGTACATCCCGTGATTTAGGAAGAATGGGGAGTGATTGGTCATGCTGGACGAGGCATTGTTGTACGCGGATTCCAGCTTCGAGAGTAAAATTTCCCATCAAGCGGAGTGGGGGCAGTTCGTGCAAATGAGCTGCTCCATGATTGGTCCGCTCGGTCTGCCCGTCATTTTGCGGGTGGTAGACCAATGAGAACTGTAGTCTTGTTCCGTACTGCGCCCACGTCTCCTTCCGGAACTTCGATATAACCTCCGGGTCCTTGTCGCCGACGCGTTATCTAGCATAACTTTATTTTATCTTGCATGCTTTTGCTTGATTTCCTAGGTTTGTTGCTTTCACTATAGTTGTTATAGTGATAGGCACCGAACTAGGTTGAGTGCACCGAATTCTAGGCTTTTCGGTTGCCACCGAATTGCCTTCCACCGAATTGCCTTCTACCGAATTCGGGAAGGACCCATTCGGGACGCTTCGCGACCCGCAGAACCTTCTAGTAACACCCGGATTACTGCCTTTGTATCGAGCCTATATATAGCATCGCCTTGTACCCAAGTGAATCATTCAATAGATTTATCTTTCTTTAACTAGATCCCCACACTTGGTAATCAGAGCGGGTTTATACGCGAGGATTTCAACCGCTTAAAACCGGCCTTAAAAAACCGAGGGGGCGACGATGAAAGCGCCGATATGGGTATGTAAAACCAGTTCCGCGCATTTTTTCTAAGCCCCCCTCGATCCGGCTTTCGAACAACCCTCAGGATTATTGGCAGAAAAGTTGGATTTTTGACCGTTAGATCGATTAGAATCTCAACGGCCTAGAGAATTTCGCCCAAAACAGTTGGAATTTGGAGCGTCGGATCGAGCTTCTCCTCAACGGCCCAGATTGGACGCGAATTTTGACTCGGGGAGAATTACACGATCTACAGAATTCGCGCTTGTCGATTCTACAGCCGATTCGATTCGCAGTTAGTCGACCAGCACCTAAAATTCAATTATTTTCATCACGCATCTTCCTGTAAATCGCCAAATGGAGGGAAATAGAGATAATTTCGTACGGGAAATCGCGGAGTTACGAGCCGAGCATGAGCAGATACGTGCAGCGCTTCCACGACTCGAAAAACTACTTGCAAACCAATCGGTAGCCGCAGCAACAGCAGCAGCGACGACGTCGACACCGATTATTATATATGCGACAACAGCAGCAGCTGCGGTTAACCTCGAAGCAGTGAAGCCGAGACAACCAGACGAGTTCGATCCTATAGTGAAAGGGAGCGATGTTCGTCGATTCGTAGTTGAACTTGAATTTTATTTCGAAGCCGTTGGATGCACGACCCCGACCCAAGACGCAATGCGCATACGGCTCGCAGCAACACTGTTACGAGGCCCAGCTCTAGAGTGGATTAGCAACAGAATAGTCCAAGGCGAAGGGACGTGGGCGCAGTTTCGGGCAGCACTGATCGAACAGTTCGACACGTTGAACAGTAGCTACTACGGAACACGACGCAACCAA